GGAGCGGCGCGGGGGCTGGGGGCATCGCGGTAGTCAGGTGCGTCGCGTGCCCCCCACCTCCGTCACGTAGCTAACTCGTGCTTTGTTTTGAGAAGGCTTAAGAGCGCCCGTTCCCACGCTTCCGCGCGCGTTCTCCTCCCGTGCCTCGTGTCAAAATTCGTATTCGAGATACGGCAGCCTCCCGATTATCTCCCCGTCCGTCCGTCCATCCGTTTGAAATTTCGATCGCAGTCGAGGATTTATTCCTTCGCGATGCAGTCACGCGTGAAGACTGTATCTTGTAGACTGTATCAGCAACGATCAGAAATCGTTAATGTCGCATTATATATTCTCAGAGGAAAAAACAATAAACATACAAAAAAATATAGTAGTGGCAATTATATAGGTTATTAGTATACAAATTGTATTATATAGAATTTATGTACATAATTGAATAAATTATTTTATAATTGCAAAATTACAACTATATAATAAAATAATTTTTTCAACTTTGTACATTAATTCTACAAAATTTATATACTTAGTTACTACTATTTTTTTTTTTATAAATTAGCAACGAAGAGGACACATGAAAATGTTCTTTTTGTTTTGATTTTTACAAATCTACTGGCATATAATTACGCGATCCCGATTTGCATGCAATATATGTGTGATGTTAATTTTACTCAATTTGTTTTAATAAGCCTGGAAATTACGGAGTTATTCAGATTCCGAGTATCTGCCACGGCCGCGACGTCATGGTCGCTCCGAGCAATGATGTGAAATGTAGATTTTGCGCGCACGCCGCGCTCGTGCGACGCGGCACGCTCTCCTTCGGCGCGATGCCGGTGCGGCTCGTACATACAGATGGGACTATTGTTTCAGCATTACAATAATCTCGGTCGTGACTCCTTCCTTGTTGCTTTCCGCCTCTTATTGTTTCCCTCTTTTTCTCTCCGTCTCTCTCTTTTTCTCCTTCTCTTGTTGGCGCGTGACAGAGTCGCGTCTCCGGTTTTCTCGCTCTTGCGAGCTGACGTGCACGCGTGATTACGAGACTACGCATAGGCCGGACGCTCCCTCGAATCACGATGGACTTCCCACATACTTTCACGCCGTGTGCGTACGCTCGTAAACCTCTGCCTCCTTTTCCCAGCCGGCCGACGAATATTGTCACGCAGCCCATTCTCATACATGGATAAGCCGCGCGTGCACAAAGCGTGCGTCGATTTTACCGTTTTAGCAGGATAAACTGGTGCAATAAAAATTTCCTCTACTTGATGGCTACACTAAAAAAGAAAAGATTGGCTGCTGCAGCAAATTAAATGGTGAAGTGTGACATAGCATTTTTTAATTGGCTGCAGCAGCTAATTTTTGGTTGCGTTAGCCTATCTGCAATGTTAATATAGGATTTCGATAAGTTAACACAACCAAAAATTGACTGCTGCAATCAATTAAAAATGCTATGCCATATTTAGCCAATCTTTTCTTTCAGTGTACTTGAATTCTATTCACAAACTTCTGTTTCGATAATTGATTTTTACAAATATACTTTGGATCAATTTCTTACAATTGATTTTGACAAGTCCTTTTTGTTTTTAAAAAGGAGAAATGATAGCTGAAAATATTATGGATGTTACGTTAAAAAACTACATGGAAAGAGACTAATTTGTCTTTAGTATCTAAAAATTGTGCTAGATACAGATCTGAAAATAATTTTGCTGAATAATCAAGATAATTGTGTAAAACATTCAATAATGAATAATATATGCTATAAAAAGGTTTGACGTTTTAACAATCAGCTTGATCGTCTTTCGTAATTATTTTAATGGTCTCATAAAATTATTCCGATCTCTATCTAGCTAAATTTGTAAATTATAAGCAAAATCCTTAGCAAAATCATTATTTCCATATAGAATAAAATGCGTTATATATTGAAATTGTAATGCAATGTTTTAACTCTCAAACGACACATGGGTCTTTCGTGTCCATACTATTTCTAATAGTTCTTATTTCTCATATACCTGTGCACATGGTCCTATGTTCCCACCCCCCCATGGGAAAAATTTTTATGATGGGGGGGGGGGAATATAGAGAAGCAACGGTGACAGGGAATCTATGTATTATCGAGCAGCACTGTCGCGTGAGGAATCGAGAGACCCATATCTATAGTCGAAAGATACCTTTTTCACAAGTAAGTGAATTTAGTTATTTTGCTATTTTTGTATTGAGTAGATTTATTTTATCGTGTCTATATTTTTTTCGGCGTAGTCGCCTCGAACCAATAAACACTACTGTCTATGCACCACACTGTCCACATGACAGATTTCCTAACCTCAATGTGAACTTTAACGGTTTATCTCGATTCGCGGGGCAGAACGCTTTTTTTCTGCCAGATTCTTTCGTTTCATGCAAAAACGCATTGATTGGGTATATTTTTATCAAAATTACTGTCCACACGATAGATTTCCTAATTTTATTTTTCCTTTTATGGTAAAGATAATATGGCACAGAGAAACATACTACAGGAATACGATCATCTTCCTCCTTTTGGCGAAGTTTCGTCATGCGAAGAAAACAATGTAGAGTCCGAGGAGGATGTGCAAAGCGAAGAAGAATTCGACGATCATTCGGATGTCGAGGAATCTACAATTGAGCAAGTATCAGGATTGGAGCGTGAAATTCCAGGAATAAACATAGGTAGACGTCGAAGTTTTATTAGAGGAAGAAATGATCATAAATGGTCTTTAAATGCTCCTGAAGTAAGAGAAGAACAAAGGCCCATGACCATTCATGTACCTAAAGCTAATCTAGAAGCACAACAAGTACGAACATCGCTTGACAGTTGGTCTTTGCTTTTCTCCGATAATATTCTTAAAATTATAGTCAAATTCACCAACAAGGAAATAAATAAGATTGTAAACATATCAAATCAAACTGTATATAATAGAACAGACGTTACAGAAATAAGAGCGTTTTTCGGAATCTTGTACTTTTCGGGAGTACAAAAAAACGGCCTCACGAATCCAGAAGAAATGTGGTCGAACGAATTTGGCTCGAACTTGTACAGGAGTGTTATGTCACTTGGTCGCTTCATACTTTTGGGCTCATGTCTTTGTTTCGATGACAAAAACACAAGAGCAGAGCGGAAACTCACTGATGGATTGGCCGCCATAAGGGAAATATGGGATATTTTCATCGCTAATTGCACTAAATATTACACGCCTTCTCAAAATTGCACTATCGACGAACAACTTCTTGAATTTAAAGGTAGATTTCATGCTAAGGTCTACATAAAAGGTAAGTCCGATCGATGTGGCATAAAAATCATCAGCATGAATGATGCTGCAAATGGCTATATGATAAATGCGTTACCTTACATCGGACGAGTAATAACTGAAAGAGAAAATGTGCCTAGTTATTATGTGCGTAAGTTATCAACTCCGATTCATAACACCAATCGAAACATAACTTGCGGTAATCGGTTTACCTCTGTAGAAATAGTCGATAAAATGATGTCAAAATATTCACTTACAATGGTTGGAACGATCAGAAAAAATAAACGTCACATTCCTATTTTGTTCTCTCGGCCTATAAGTGTTGGTACCGCTCGGTATGCATATGATAATGGAAAGACCTTGTTGTCATATTCACCAAAGAAAAACAAGATTGTTTTACTTCTTTCTAGTCTTCATGAACGTGGGAGAACAGACGAAAACACCGAAAAACCAGAAATCATTACCTTCTATAAAAGCACAAAAGGAGGAACTGACACTTTCGATCAGTTATGTAAATACTATTCGACGGTAAGAAAAACAAATCAATGGACAATGAGATTCTTTTTTGGAATGCTGGACCAAGCAGGTGTCAATGCATATCGATTGTACGAGTTGAATCAGCAAAATCAACAAATCAACAGGAGATCTTTTTTGAAAAATCTTACTCTAAGCCTAATCAAACCGGAACTTGAAAGGAGACTTACAATACTGACTTTACGAAAATCTTTGAAACTCATGATATGGGAAATATTGAACGTCGAAGATCCTGACTCAACTGCAAATACTGGAAAAATGGAAAAAAGAAAAAGGTGTTATTTTTGTCCCACAAAAAAAGATAGAAAAACATTTTATTGCTGTACTCACTGTAAGAAGCCGATATGCGAAGACCACAGATCACCGATATGTAGCGAATGCATACCATAAAAAAATCTGGAGACACTGATAGTGTCTCGGCGCTAAGCTGCGCGAAGCGACACCGCCGTGCCTCCTTTACGCGAACCGACGAGTTGCGGCAGATCGAGATTGTCGGATCTCAATAACGATTGAACCGATCACGTTCAATATATTTAATATTCTGTAATCACTTTAAATATTTCTGTTTGCATTAAAAATAATCATTTTTATATATACTTTAATCAAATCAAAAATTTTTTTCTTCGAAAATACTCTATTTGTCCACATTAAAAATATGACATTCAGATGCTCAAATGCACTTTTTTGCATCCGGCTCATGTAATATTGTTTTTTTTGTAAATTATGATATCTATAAAAACATCCTACATGATTTTTTTTACATATATAGCAAAGTTACAATTTTTATATCAAAACTGAATTATTTTCTTTTTCTAGTACAGAAAGTAATTTTCTTAATTTTTCTAAACATTTTTTCCAATGTTTGCATAGCAGAATAATTTAGTAAAGACCTTAAAGAATATGTGTGAATTTTTACAGAATTTTTTAAGCACTTTAGAAGAGCCTTAAAATTGAGTCGGACACGAAAGACCCATGTGTGCCGTCCAAAGATATCGAAAATAAGTGTTGTTCGAGGATTAATATATAAAAGTTGTATAAAAATCAGAAATCATTTCAATTTAAAACGATCTATCAAAAGAGCCAAACTTGATCAAATTCTAGGACAACGTATAAAAGCATGGCTCGTTGCTATAATTTGGATCCTCTCGCCACACAAGTGGGGAGAGCTTCTCCCCAGAACCGGGAGTACCGTGATATTAGAGCGTACCGGCACGCAGCGCGCGCGTGTATACGCGTGCACACACGTCGCGGTGATGCCTAGAGGATTCCTACGGTTTTTCGTTCGGTTCCCACGGCCGGGGTGCGTCAGGTGGCTAGCGCGGGGTGCGCGCAACACCCCCCTTTCTTCACCCCACGACATAGATGTAAACCCGCGGCCAAGAAATCCCGCGTAGGGCTCCGCCCCTGCCACCATTTTTGGCATGCATGTTGCACGCGTGTATTCGTGGAGGAATGCCACCCCGGATCCTATTCGTCTCGCCCTCTGCTATTCTTCATTATTCGTGAAAACGACGCCTCGTCGTTGACCCGCGACGATTCACCGCAATTGATGGAGCGATCGATGAATTGTGGCATTGTTGTGTCACATGAAAAGCACCTAGACCTTTGGAGAAATCGCTTTTCATCATTTAATATCTTTATTTAATTTTTAATTGTATTTTTTTCTTATTCTTTTTTAAGTACATTGTTAAATGCGATAACGTTTTATCAAAAGATTTTGAGAGTAATAGTCTTTGTGACATTTTTTCTACATGATTCAAAATACATAAATACTAATATTCGACAAATCCGGCTGTCAGTAGAATTTCTTGCGCGGGTGTTGTGTCGACCAATTGCGAGTGTATTTTTTTTACGAGCAAACATTTCGGCATTCGCAGACACGTTTTTGCCAGACGGATTGAGCCGACGCGGGGGAGCCGTTCCCACGAGAGTTCAGAAAATAACTGCCGAAGAAATCGTGGAACCGGGTTGCTCGTGTCGTTTTATTCTTCCGACTGTTTCGTCTTCAGCAGCCTCTTCTGACGTCACTGACCCAATTTCGTGCACGCCAACAGCACCTTCGTGTTCGTGATCCTGTTAAGTCCCAGCAGCCAACCGATATTTGCGCTGGGTGCGAATATCTCTCTTTATGTTCCTCATGTTATGAGTTTTTACGGAAATAATGGACGATAATCATGCGGCTGTTACTCGCACGAATGTTACTTGCAACTTTTCTAACATATAGACAAATCCGTTGATATCTCTGTAGAAGTTAGTCAAATTATTCGTTTCTAAATAACTGCAAAACTAGAGTTCCTCAAGTAAAAGCTGGATATCATTTAGATAGTTTAAAACTGAGTTTTTCATTAGTTCACTATTATTTAGAACGGTGTCTAATCTCTTAAAGCTTACACGAGAAAAAAAAACGATTGTACCGATGTATCTATAAAAATTTAGCTAGACATAGATCTGAAAATAATTTTATTGGACCATTAAAATAATTATGTAGAAATCTTAAGCATGGCGTGAACAATACTGCAAAAAGTGTTGACATTCTAGCAACCAATTTGAGCGTCCTGCATAATTATTTTGATGGCCCAACGAAATTATTTTCAGATCTGTATCTAGCTAAATTTTTAGATACTTCAGTAAAACCATTCTTTCTATGTATAAAAAAAAATGGAAGGCAATAAGACATACATAAGTGGTAAGGGCTGCCAGACACACACACACATACTTTCTGTAACAGTAATCATAAACGTACTGTAAGAATTAGTCAATCACAGTCAACAGTTATAAAAATGTAAGGTCATTCTTTTTAAACTTTCAGCTCTAATTGACTAATTCTTACAGTTTACGGTTGCGGAAAGTGTGTGCAGTGGCCCTAAGCAAATCATCCAATTACAGTAGAAGATGTAAGACAATAACATAAGCAGTGGTAAATTAAAAGTGTTGATTTACTTACTACTTAGTTTTTCTATTGTGCCATTGGCTTAACCCTTTGTCATCAATGTGAAATTTTTACCATTTGTCCGCAATCTGAGTCTTCAAACTTCAATAGATTCAGATTTTTGTATCGTTCCGAACTGTACAAAAATCTGGAAAAAATTCTTGCATACTTGTGAAACTTTAACGAATTTTTGCTATCATAGAAGCTGGATTGTACTTTACTTATTTTTATTTACATTTATCTACTAGAATTCACAATTAAAATATCAATTGCGCCTTCAAAATTCCACTTGACCGACGGAGGATTAAGATATGAATGAAGTAGATGCATAAGATAGAAGAGATGGATACACTTATCTCATTCTATCTTAAATGTTTAGTCTACCATATTTAAGACTGTGTCTAATCTCTTAAGGGTCCTCTACATAGAAGTCATATTATAGAAAACTGACCAATTCTAATAGAATATTCTTCTTATATTTGATTGTGATTGGTTGGTTTCCTACAACTTAGACTCCACGACCATCTACGACTTCTATGTAGAGAATCCTTTACTTGAGGATCTTTAAGCCACAAGGCACCGAAATACGAGCTATCTGTTATGCATTTTAGCTAACGATTTCGGCAAAGTGTCTTTCCGGTAAAGTGTGTAAGAGAACGTTACAAGCGACTGTTGTCGTTCGCGATTACATCAAAATCCGCTATGTCTCAAGAAGGTACGTCGTTGTCGCGGCAAAGAAAAGGGAATAGGTGGATCGGATCGGCACGATTCTTCCCACGTCGTCGTCATCGTCGCCATCGTCGTCGAACGTCGTTGAAACGTGCTGAAAGCGTGCTGCTCGCGTGGCCGTTACACGAGGGCGACAAAGAAGGGAGAAGGATAAGAGCCGGGCCCCGACGATCTTTCTCACGGACCAGGCAAAGGGAGGCCGTCAGGTGCACGCAGGACCTCCTTCAGGAAATACAACGGTTCCTTACAAGGATTCGCGACTTCTGCCTTCCCACGCTCCTCCAGTTGTAACGACCAGATTCGAGTCCCTTCCTCCTCGCCTCCTTTCCGTCCTTACCCTACACCCTCGTTTTTTCCCTTTTTTTTGCGCGCGTGACGAACGGTTTCGGATCCGTTCGGAGGTCCGGGCGCGCTGGAATGACCGCCCCGATAAGTGTACGTCTGTATGTAAATAATTGCAGGGTGAAGGCACTTGGCCGTGTTAAAGGCATTTTCGTGCCGGGCAAAAAGTCCCGATCGCGAAAGGACGAAGTGCGTGACGAAGCTGTCTTTCGCTCACCAGCTATCGGTCGCGGACCATTCGCTCTTAATTAGCGGATTTTTTCGTTTATTCGGTTTGCACAACGTTTTGCGTCATGCACGCGCGCAAGCGCAAGCCGTGAATTTACGTGTACGAGGAAAAAGAAAGAAAAACCGAAGAGGAGCGAATGTACTGTTCCGCGAACGAAAAAACGAATAATTAAAAATTTCTCCCCGTCTGATCCAGAAAAAGCGCGAATGCGGTCGTTTGCCCGTGTCGATCGATCGATCCGTCGCTCGTTCCTGGAACAAATCACACGGCGCTGAGATCACAAAAACGCGGATCGATTCGGTCGAGGGAGCGCTCGGCGATGTACGGGCTCGTGGCACTTTATTTGCGTTCGACTCTCACTACCAAAGCGAGACCGTTCCAGTCTGGCGATCGTCACAGAACCAAGATCCTCGAGAAGACCCCCGGAGATATTCAGGATCTGGCTCATGTCTCTCTCATTGTGATCCATGGGAAGAATCCCACAGAGACAGAGCCGCGCTTCTCCGACGACTCCGCTTTGATCATCTGATCCAGGAGCAAGAGTCACCACGCATTTAGGGTGTGCTGTAAAACTACTTAAATTGTATGAAAACTCTTGCGGGGATATGCGATAGCTTGACCAAAAAATTTAATATAAGAATTTAATTTAATTTAAGATTAAATCCTACAATCTACAAATACATCAAAATGCTTTTAATCGTAGAATACTGCATAAAAAGAATGATGGTTTTGCTAAAATATCTAAAAATTTAGTTAGATACTGGTCTAAAAATAATTTTGTTGGATTAAAATAATTATGAAGCATGCTAAAGCGTGATCGGGCACGCATTTAGGTATCGGGCTGCGGAAATATAAAGTTACAAGATCGTGAGAATCTACCGAATTTTGAATTTCTTCAAGGTGTTCGACTCGAGAGGTATTCAATAAACATTTGCTTCACCTGTCGTTATCCGTGACTGACACGCCCTCGGATATGTTTGCGCAAACGGTTTTCAAGTCTTATGTAACTTTTAACAAACCTGTAGAAAGAGATAGATTGATTTACATGAAGATTTTGGTGATTCTAAAAACAGTTCGACAAAGAATCCGAACAAATTTATTGTTATGTAAATGTAGAAATTTTTATTAGCAATAAAAGATTGTAGAATTTTCTGATTAATA